GAGCAGGAATCCTGAAGCGCTGGGGCAGCCACACCAGGTGTCCCAAGGTTACAAAGAGTCATGAAGGAAAGGAAGGAAACAGCTTCTCTGAGGTCAGGACCTGCAGGCATCAACCTCAGAGCCACACGGAGGAGAGCAGCTTGTGCCATACCAGAATCCCAGACTGGTTTGGGTGGGAAGGGAACTTAAAGCTCATCCAATCCCACCCCCCAAGGACACGTTGGTGACCCAGGTGTCTCCAAGCCCCATCCAACTTGGCCTGGAACACTCCCAGGGATGGAGCAGCCACAGCTGCTCTGGGCAACCAAACAGGATCACCTCATCCATGCTCCTTATTCCAAAGCTGCAGATATCCTGGGAATTGTGGTTGAGCTCCCTGCCCCAAGGGGAAATTCCCCAGCTCTGGCTGCCTCTGTCCATGGGGGACAGGCACCCCCAGATGTGCTCACCTCTGCCAACAGCTGGAGGCAGCTCCAGTCTTACAACAAGGACACTGAAGGTCTGGAGCGTGTGCAGGGAAGGGAAGGGAGCTGGGAAAGGGACTGGAGCAGCAGGAGCAGCTGAGGGAACTGTGGGGGCTCAGCCTGGAGAAAAGGAGGCTCAGGGGAACCTTCTGCTCTCTGCAACTCCCTGACAGGAGGTGCAGCCAGGTGGGGTCAGGCTGTGCTCCCAGGGAACAAGGGGCAGAATGAGAGGGAACAGCCTCCAGCTGTGCCAGGGGAGGTTCACATTGGATTTGAGAACAATTCCCCCAGGATGGTGGAGTCCCAGTCCCTGGAGGGATCTAACACCCATGTGAATGTGGCACTTGCGGACATGGGTAGTGTTGTCCTTGGCCATGCTGGGGATGGTTGGACTTGATGGTCTCAGAGCCCTTTTCCAACCTAAATGACTCCATGATTCCCTGCATCCATATTCAGATTGCAGGGGCAGAACTTGTGTAAAGCAGCCAAGAACAAATTCAAATCAGCCCTGAAGCCTCTCCTTCCACCATCTCCAGGACCTTCTTAGGACTTGGCCACTTCCAAGACTTGGATGCCCCTCCAAGGTTTCTTCCCCATGCAGCACCTACTACCCATGGCAGGAGGTTGGAACTGGATGAGCTTTAATTTCCCTTCCAACCCAAACCACTCTGTGATTCCATGATTCCACGAGCTGGGAGCAAGCAGAGGGGAAAAGTGAAGAGCATGACTGCCTTGGAGCAGCCCAAAAAACGGCTGGAAAGGGATAATGCTGCCATCTAAAAATATCTCAGCCATAAATACCTCAGAGGAGGCACATCAAGGCGGAGGAAGAGCTGCCTAAATGAAAGATCAATGTTGGTTCAAGGCAAACTAGGAATGGGGAATGACATGGAGCTGGAAATGAGACGGTTCCTCCCCAAAGCAATGAGGCTGCCCAGGAGGATGAGACTCCAACGTGGATTTAAACTGCAGCTCCATATGTTCCCCCTGGGGATTAGAGGTGATAAGGATGATGGATTGTCCCTGCCACCTCCAGCTCCGTGGAGCCCTGAGGACTGGTCCTGGGGATCAGCAGTGACACCTCAGCTCTGCAGGGAGGAGGGAGATCGGGAATGAGTCACTTGGAGCAGGTTTCTATAAACAACCTCCTCCCCCCTGTGCCATCAGCTCGGGATCGTGAGGATTGCTGGAGACAGCAGTGCCTCATTAAGCAGAGCCTGAGGCACATTCCTCATTAGCAGCTGGAGGAAGAAGTGTCTCATCATCAGCCCTCACTTTTGGTGGCAAAGCCCACAAGTTTTCCGGGCTATTTGCCCTGGGAATGCTGCCAGAAGGCCAGGAAAAAACCCCAGCGCTAAACTATCAGGCTTGGATTCCTCATGGAATCAGCCACTCCTGATCCCTCACAGCAGCACTAAGGAGACACCACGGAGCTCAGGGGTGTCCAGAAGGTGAACACGGATAGGGAGATGTTAGCTGAATTGAGCTTTTATGTCCACCCCAGGTCCTGTTTGCCACTGGGCTGGATGCAGGAGGATCTGGCATGTCTTTCAAGGGGTTTAGACACGGGTTGGAGCAGCAGGAGAGGCTGAGGGAACGGTGGGAGCTCAGCCTGGAGAAAAGGAGGCTCAGGGGAACCTTCTGCTCTCTGCAACTCCCTGACAGGAGGTGCAGCCAGGTGGGGTCAGGCTGTGCTCCCAGGGAACAAGGGGCAGGAGGAGACGAAACAGCCTTAAACAGCACCAGGGGAGGTTCAGGTTGGATATTAAGAATAATTCCTTCGTGTCAAGGGTTCTCTATCCCTGGCACAGCTGCCCAGGATGGTGGAGACACCAACCCTGGAGGGATTTAACATCCATGTGGATGTGGCACTTAGGGACATGGTCAGTGGTGGCCTTGGCAGGGCTGGGAACTGTTGGACTCGATCTTGGAGGTCTTTTCCAACCGCAAGAACCCTGTGACAGCAAGTGGCACCTCTCCAGTCCCCCATGGAGCTCAGCCCACCCTGAAGCAGAGGTGTGGGTGCTGCCTGGACATCCTGATCCCATGGGAAGGTCTTTCCAGGTACTGACGGCCATAGCAAGCTGCTGTCAGCAGGTCCCAAGCAAGGGATCAATCCTGCTTCTCCCAGGGCTGGGGATGGGCAGCTCCCATCACTTTCAGCTCCTAGTTTTTCTCCTTTTCCCTCATTTCATGCCTGGGACTGACACATCCCCAGTCCAGCCAAGCCTGCAAACAGCACCTCTGTTTAAGCCAGCACAAATAGCTCCCCCAAATCCATAGGGATCAGCTCCTAAGTTGCTCTATTGTCCCAAAGTGCTGACAGCCCCTGGGGTTTGTTCAGGAAAAGCTGATTCCAAGGCATGGCAGGAGAGAGCAGAGACCAACAAATGGTCACAGAGAGCAAAACCAGCACAGCAAGACCCTTGGAAACCACCCACACAGCAGGACACAGAAGGGGACACCATAACTCATCCCCAATGGTTTTTTCAGCTCTGGAAGGATGTGGAGGCGACAGGGAGGGTGGAAACTCACCGAGTTGGTGCCCAGGATCTGCAGGTTGGGCTTCTCCGACTCCAACAGCTTGGCCACCATCTTGAGGAAGCTCTCCACGAAGAGGTTGATGCTCTGACAGTGACAGGCCATGAGCAGCTGGTCCAGAGCCTCCATGGCAATGCACACGTACCTGGGGTGGGCACAGGGAAGAGTCACACGTGGACAGCTCATCACATCATCCCTGGAGTCCCCCGGGCCGGAACGCCTCCAGTCCAGGGGCAGCTCTGGGACCACTGTGGCAAGGAGGACATTGAGGGGCTGGAGGGTGTCCAGGGAAGGGAACAGGGTCCCAAGTCCCTCTGCAGCTCTCCTGGAGCCCCTTGAGGCACTGGAAGGGGTTCTGAGGTCTTCCTGGAGCTCAATGTTTTTAGTTCCTTGGAGCTCATCCCACAGGGATTGTCTGCTGAGAAACCCAACCTGGAGCCATCCCCAGCTCCAACTCCATAGGACCACAGGATCCCAGACTGGCTTGGGTGGGAAGAGACCTTACAGCTCATCCCATCCCACTCCTGCCATGGGCAGGGACACATCCCACCAGCCCAGGTTCCTCCAAGCCCCATCCAACCTGGCCTGGAACACTTCAGGGATGGATGAACCACACACTGGGAACGAAACAACCTTCAGAGCTCCTTTCCACCTCCCTTTGCCTCCTTCCCTCCATGCCCTTGTGAATCCTTGTCCCACAGCAGCTCACATGGAGCCCAGAGCTGCTGATATAGCCCCAGGCAGGAGGTGCTGAGCCCAAAGCTTGAAATCAAGCACAATTCCTCCTTTTTCACCTGCATTTTCCAAGCCAACTCCTTGGAATCTACCTGTGCCAGCCCTGCCTGTACATCACAGGGCAAGTAGGGAAGGAACTGTCCTCCTGGAGTAAAGGAGGTGTCTGAAAAACCCTGGAATTGCAGCTGATCCAACCCAGAGAGCTCAATCCCTTCTGTTGAGGCCCCAAAGCTGTGGACATGTGGCTCCAGCCTTGTGTCCCTGGTGTCTTGCTGTGTGGTGGAGCTCAGCCTGTCCTTCAGGCACCATCACAGCTCTCCCAGATCCTGTGAAAATCAGGAACCAGCTATTCCTGGATCCGGAGGCTCCTGCCCATCTGCCAAACTGGGTTAACACTGGCCCAGAGGGGGGAAGAAAAGGCAGGAAGAAGTGGCTGAGGAGCAGCAGGAAGTATCAAACTGGTGGAAACAAGGCTGAAAACAACTTTCTGACCCCAAATTATCACCACAGCTTCTCATTTGGGGACAACCAGGTGGAAAAGGGACACCTGTGTGTCAGCTCAACCATCTTCCTCTAGATGGGGAGACACTGCTGCCAGCTGAGGTGAGAACATGTCCTCTTTGCACTGATCAAATGAGCAAAGAGTTGACCCCAACAAACTCCAAACTGAGGTTCTCCTTCATCTCCCACCCAGGTGAGGCCTCTCAAAGCTTCATTGTGTGCCTGGAGCTACTGCTGCAGCCACCACTGACCTACAAAAGCTGCTCCAACCCCATTTCCAAGTGCAACTCAGCTGGTTCTCCAACCCAATTCCATGCACAGGCAGCAGAGGAAGGAATGGGAAGGAATCTATTCCCTCCTCCACCCGCTGAGGCTTGTGATTAGCTGTCAAAGAGCCTTTGAAAGCCTTTCTGTTCCCAACATAGCAAGTGGAGCCTGTTAACAGCCACTTAAGCAAGGGAACATCAGGCAGAGCTTTGAATGTCCTGTCACTCCCCATGACAGGTGATGAGTATGAGCCTTTGAAGGTTTTCCAGCCTTCACACTCCCCTGGCTCTGCTTCCCTCAGGATGAAAGGCAGGATGAGGTTGACACCACGAAGCTGAGCTGTGTTTGTCTGCCATGGCTTTGTTCAGCAGACAACAAGGAGCAATCCAGGACCTCTTTTCAAAGGGAAAGGAATCCTCTGATGCTCTCCTGAAGTTGTTAAGCAGGGCAGGAAGATATTTCCAGGCTTTCCTTGGAGTAAACATGGCAAAGTTTGGCTGGAAGTGATGAAAGGGAAGGGATGGGGCCCAGCCAGATAAGCCCCACAGAGATAAGGTGACTAGAGCAACATAGCAATCCCCATCCAGCCTGGTGAATCCCTGGCTCCTGCTCTCTGGAAAAGCATTCCTCATCCTTGCTCCTGCTTAAGCCACATCCTGAGCTCAGCAGAGGTGAGCATGGGGTGCCACACATCCCAAAAAGCTGCACCCAGGGAGCTGAGCTGCTTCCATCTGGCTCTGGAACAGGCTGCCCAGGGAAGCTGTGGCTGCTCCATCCCTGGAAGTGTTCCAGGCCAGGTTGGATGGAGCTTGGAGCCACCTGGGCTGGCGGAAGGTGTCCCTGGCCATGGCAGGGGTGGGATGGAATTAGCTTTGAGGTTGCTTCCAACCCAAACCAGTCTAGGATCCTATGGAGCCGAGGATGCTGCAGGCTGGGATGGCTCCAGGCTGGTTTGTTTCTCATCCAGGCAATCCCTGTGGGATGAGCTCCAAGGGATTCAATCCAAACACTGAGTTTCAGAGAGGCCTCAGAGCCCCTTCCAGTGCCTCAAGGGGCTCCAAGAGAGCTGCAGAGGGACTTAGGACAAGGGCCTGGAGGGACAGGACACAGGGAATGACTTCCCACTGCCAAAGGGCAGAGCTAGGTGGGATATTGGGAGGGAATTCCTGGCTGTGAGGGTGGTGAGGCACAGGCACACCCAGTTGCCCAGAGCAGCTGTGGCTGCTCCATCCCTGGGAGTGTTCCAGGCCAGGTTGGATGGGGCTTGGAGCAACCTGGGCTGGTGGAAGTTGTCCCTGCCCATGGCACAGGGTGAGATGGGATGAGCTTTAAGCTCCTCCCACCCAAACCCCTCTGAGCTTCCATGACACAGCTCCCACTTACCTGATCCCTTGCAGCTCTACAAGGAGCTTCCACCTCCCTGAGTGCTCCCAGTTTCAGAGCTGAGATCTCTCTGCAGCTCCAGGATGAGGACACTGAGCACCCCACATGTCCCACCCTTGCCTGGCTCCCTGGGGTGGCTGAAGCAGCTCCCAAGGCCTTACCCATAGCGGTGCCGACTGACATCCCGGATGAGTCGCTCCGAGAGGTAGGCACCGATCCGATCCAGCTTTTCCGGAGCAGACAGGGCATAGAAAGTCAACTTCTCCATGTTGGTCTTCACCAGCCCATCCTGAAAGAGCAGCACAAGGTGTCACAGCTCAGGTAAACATCAGGAGAGTCTCTGTGGGAAAGGTTGGCAGGTCTGGAGTGATCCTGGAGGTCTAGAGCAGGCCAGGCCCACCCTAGTGCTTCCCAACACCATGGAAGGCAAACAAGGATTGCTTTCAGCCTCAGCTGAGCCTCTGGTCCATCCCAGTTAGGGCTGATCTCAGTGCAGACCTCATGGAGCACCTCATGCTCTGAACCCAACTCCCACTACCTCCTTAAAACGAGACAAGGGGTGGATTTGGTATGTTCCAGGCACAGAAGGGCATTCCCCACAGCCAATTCAGTGAGGCAGCAAGCAGCATTCCCACACCTTGGAAGCAGAAGCAGTATTTGAGCTGGGAAGCCTGGATGAGAACCCTAGAGGTCCCTCAGCTCTCAGGAGCAGCTCTTGTCCTGCAAAGAAGGATCAGATCCAGTCTCCCATCCATTCATCCATCCATGCTCAGCACCTGCCCAGCACCTCTGGAAGAGGCAGCCTGTCCTTCCAGGAGGATGTGGCTGGAGAAGCTGCACCTCTATTCCCACTCACCAACAGCTTTAAAGGAAAACCCATGACCTTCTGGAATCAACAGCATTCCCTGCCTCCCAGGAGCTATTCCTTGGGAAGCCACACAGCATTTCTGCATCCCAAAAGAAGCTTTGGGATGTGAAGCAGTGCCTCATTTACCTCTGGATCCTCAGGGAAGATGTTGTCCACGAGCCTTTTGTAGCGAGGACGCAGAGCACCACAGCAGCCACACACACCTGGGGAAAGGGGACAGAGCCTGTCAGCAGGGACAGCATCCTCACCAGCTGGAAAACATACCCTTGGATTCAGTGGAGGAGAGGACAAGGCCCTAAGCTGATGCCATCCAGGAGTTTTCCAGCCAAGGGAAGCAAACTGAGAGCAGGGACTTGGCTGCTGCCCAGCGCTAGGGGATGTGGAGCTGCAGGGAAAGCAACTCCAGGGGCCAAAATGTCCTCATGTTCCCTTAGAAGTGTGTCTTTCTCTCCCCAAGTCCTCTTTGGCAGCTCCTCAGAGAGCTCTCTGCTCCCAGCCCAGAGCTGAGGATGCAGCACTCAGCCTGTGCTCCCCACAGAGCTGGGACAGACAGAGCAGGGAGAGCATCCTGTGGCAGGAAAATCCCTGAAGATTCCTGTTGAGGAGCACCAAACCCCTTTGGTCACACCCCAACCTGCAGGCCATGGTCCCTGCGCCCTGAGGCACATCCCAGTTCAAGCAAAGCAGTCACCAAACATCCCAAAATGTGGCTGTGATTCCCAGCTCTACTCCCTCTGCAGAGGGAGGAAGGGATGGTTTGCAACCCAGATACTTCTCCTGGTTTCTCAGGGCCAGGAGTCCTCCTATCTTTGCCTCAGGCACGGCCGGTGATCCAGGAAAAGGCAGGGATCAGCCTCATCCCAACTCCAGGCAAAGCAGACACCAAACATCCCAAATGTGGCTGTGATTCCCTCTGCAGAGGGAGGAAGGGATGGTTTGCAACCTGGATATTTCTCCCTGTTTCTCAGGGCTAGGAAAAGGCAGGGATCAGCCTCATCCCAACTCCAGGCAAAGCAGTTACTCCAAGCCACCAAACATCCCAAAATGTGGCTGTGATTGCCAGCTCTGCTCCCTCTGAAAAGGAGGAAGAGAAGGTTTGCAACCTGGATGCTTCTCCCTGTGCCATATCCTGTTTCCCAGGGCTCCTCCTGTCTCGGGCCCAGGGACAGGTGAGCCCTGGAGCATCCATCGTGCTCCAACAAACACTGAGCATCCATGGGCACCTCCAGCATGACCATCCCCACAGCTGCCCTGGCCCTGACACTTGGGAAAAGAGGGAAAATGCTGCCCTCCCTCACTCCGAGGGCTTGGCACACTAGGATCCTCCTCTCCAGCATCTTTTTCCCTGGAGCTTGGCATTACTCGGACGCAGATTGGTCTGAGCCACCCCAAAGCCTTTGTGAGCCCAGGGAGGTGTGATTCATCCAGGGATCCTTTCTGGCAAGCACCCCAGGAGCAGAAGCCTGCAGGGACAAAGGAGACTGCTCCTGTTGGAACCATGAGCTCATTCCAGCTCCGACGCTAGCACTGCTTCCTGCGCTCCCTCACTTCCTCGGCTGTTCCAGCACGGAGGGGGCAGCCTGAATACCCCCTGAAAGCTTTGGGATCCCCCTTGGGGTCTCCACAACTCCCAGGAAGTCTTTCCACCACTTGTGCTCTCCCTGCAAATGCTTCCTGCCTTCCTGTTATCTTCCCATTATCCGATAGTTTATTTATCTCGGATTTCCTCCTCCTCCCTCTGCTGCAATCCATCGATTTTGCTCTCCTTCCAAAGTGCCTTTAATTTGGGCTCTTAATAAATTGCCACACACGCAAACGAGTGTCTGGTGATCCCCTGAATCCTCTCTCCAGAAATTCCTCTCACCTGGGATAGCTCAGACACAGGGATTTATGTCACCTTGCTAGGCCACATGTCCCTGCACATTCCATGAGCTCTCTCCCAAAAAACAGCTGGGGAATTTCCCCACAAGTGACCCCACCAGGCATGAATCTGAGTCCCCTCCACTTCCCACAGCCTCCTTGGTAATTATCTCACCTCCAGAAATGAGACTTGAGGGTATTTTTGGGATTAATGCACGTTCCCAGCCCTGGGTGAGAAGCCACATTCCCGATCCACCACCCTTTATCCTGCT